CAAAAGAACTCACCAAATCTCGATTTTCTTTGTAGAATTTCTGTAAATTGTACGAATCGCCAAGTTTGTTTTTGCGGGCACGCGCTTGTTCGTTTAGTTTCTGCCAATTCTCCTGCAGTTCGTATTGCTTTGCTTGAATCGCCAACGCATTCTGTGGGTACTTTTTTTTCAACTTCTCAGAAGTTTTGTCCAAGTCCTTTAAAAGAAACACACAATACAAGATTACAGTACAAGAGGGATGCACGATTCAGATTTTTTAGAAACAGTACGTCTCATATACGTAGTACCAAAACCGCCATAATTAGTAGTAATGATGACGTGTGTTCATTACCTTCATTTTATGCGCAATAGCAATCATATCTCTCTCAGTGTCGTCATGTTTCCTTTGTAATGCTTCAACTCCAGGAAGATCTCTGCCATAATCGTCACTAGATACTGCCAGGAACTATTAATAGATTCGTATAATTATAACGATGTACTACAACAATATAATATAAACAAATCTGATGACTCTCAGCAAGTTATGATTCTGGGGAAACATAATGACAACTTAATGACAATTTAAGCAACCTAAACCGATATAGCAAATACAAAGCTTGTCCACAAAGTTGAAGAAAGTAATAGAAAATAAAAATAAAATAAACTTTACTGTAATGATTATACCTTTTCGTTAATTCTGTCATTGGTTTCATCAATATCTCTATTGAATGAGTGGATTTCTTGAGCCCCTGCCAGTCTTGCCCTATAATCCTGGAGGCCATTTTGGATTTTATGCCATCTGAAAGAAATTTTGAAAGTAATGTCAATTTACTAATGTATGTATCTTTTTTGTATTTCTGAGTTATATTTTTTACAAATTTCATGCTGGATTTATATGCAATTTATTTTTGCCATTTTCATTGGTTTGATTAAAGGTGGTTAGGGATAGCACCATTGAATTATGGAATATGCTCAGTAACATACCTATCATTGATATCATCTCTCTTCTGTTCTACAAGATCAGCCTCAGTACTTTTATCTTTGACAAGTTTATCAGCGAGTTCATTCACCAACAGAATTCTTGACTCGTCCACCGTCATACTCTGTACATAGATATATATATATAAAAAAAAAGGAGTTATCAGTGAAATAGTCACCCAAGTCAAGTAAAACAGTGTTTATCATGATGTATTCTCTCCATCAGCTGATAGTGCACATTAAAACAATACTTACAGTTCCAAAATCATCTAACTTCTTTTGTAGTTCCATGCAATGTTCGTAATCACGTCCAAGTTCACCGGCAGCAATCATCATTTCCTATAAAACCAAACATATGTTAAAAGAACACTGATCACCTAAAAACCCGAACCATGCTTTTGTCCACTTTTTAAAAATTAAAAATGCTGAGAAGAAGTAATTATTTAATGGATGGCCAGTGAGAATAAACAAACACAAATTCCCAAGAAAGAAGGGAATGTACGGTATAATGCCAGAACCATATGAGAGAATCACATGACTAAACCACATGCCATGGCAATTCGACTTTGGGTACCGTATTTCCTCTATTAGAGCATTAAAAACGGCGATGTATTTAGGGGTTTGTGATTCAGCACTTCTAGATGAGTAGAGGGAAAAAGGCAATTTACAGTGATCAGACCAGTTTTGATCCAACCAACAAATCCAAAGAGATGTGTAAATTATGTCATTTTGAAAGGATTTGCAATTTAATACAAGACTATAAAACAACATGCATTCAATTGAAAGTGTGTTTCTAATAGTGGAAATGCGGTATTTACTTATACAATTACAAATGAACTGAGTTGAAGATTCATTCACTGTCTTATTGTAAGATGTAAATACCAGGAGATCATCAACAAAACAAACCAAACCAAATAAACATGATAACAAACAACCTGTATTCTGAACCCAAATCACCACAAAATTTATGATTACATTAAACAGGCTATGAAAATCATGTAAATGAATTCCTGTACAAACCACTGATTGTTGTCCCAGTCAAGATGCATTATAAAATATTGTTGCAAAGCAGCACGGTCGTCACCGTCTGAACCCACCTGATTTGCATAAGTACGAACAGCGTATAATGGCAAGACCTGATAGACGAATTACGTGTACATAATAAGGTGAGTACGATATACCCCCAGATTGAACGTGTATACAAAACATCTCGTATTGAATAAGGCGACAGCATTCTAGATCATTAAATATCAATATTCAAAATACAGTTAACCCAACGTATCGGTGAAAACACCAATTCTAATATGGCAAAGCATCTTTTAGCTGATCACATTGAAGTTCATGATTAAACAAGAAACATAGAAACTGAAACATTACTGTGTTACTGTCAGAACTTGACAAAAACTTTTACTTTTAACAAATTCATAAGAACATTTACCGATACAAAAACAGAAGAAAGCCTGCATCCAAACAAACAAACAAGACCCACCATACATATGCATCAGTGACCCAATAATAATGATCACAACCAAGAAAAGGAATAAAAAAACAATATTTTGAAAACGTCACCAGGATTTTAAATTAACCACAGTTTCCAATGTTTATACAAAGAGACTGAAAAAAGCATTGTGTTGTACAGACACCATCTCAAAAACAAACATCCATGCACCCAGATCAAAAACTTAATAAACATATAAAGATAAAAATATAAAGAAAATTCATTAGCAATCCCGTTTATAAGTTTCTGAAATGCATAACCACTAAGAAGAATCCTTGAATAATTCAGAAGAGAATTACAAGTCGTACCTTTTCTCTCATCCATGTCTCTACGATATCAACTTGCCGGTTATATTCTAAGATATCTTTAGCTTCCTCAAGGAAGCGTCCGCGACTGCTTGATGCTTCAACTAACTCATTCCAATGTTTTAGTAATTCCTGCACTCGTTCCTTGATATCAACGGAATGTTCATGCTTCTTGGCAATAAGCACATCGCCATTCTGAAAAAAAAAACATGGATGATATCAAGATGGAAACAGGGCCTTGACACTAAGGGTAGTCCCATAGCCAAGGACAAGTAAAATTGCCATTCAGATAACTGAATGGTAACTTGTATATGTATATATACACAAAACAGACAGATGCAGAGGATTTAATTTGATAAAAGTGACTGCAACTCTTGCTAAAAAGTGGGATGGTGACATGTCTTTTTTTTTCTTTTTCTTCTGGACATCTTTTATTTGTCCATTTTAATATTTTAACCAGAATTGAGTTGTGTTGAGACTCCCTTGTATTACTTTGTACAATGTACTAAAGCTTGTATTCGTAATATTATTGTAGAAACTCCTTCCAGCAGAGTTAATGATTGGTCTAAACCTCACCTGTTTGATTTCTTTGATTTTGGTTTGATTGGCGATGATTTCCGCTTCCAAAGCCTGATGTCTTTGTAGTCGCTTCATCTTTTCCTGAATGTCAGTCACGTCCTTGTATGACTGGTCACCAGCTATTTTCAATTTCTCATCAATCCACGCTTTCATCTGCACAAGATATAACAAAGGATCTACGATTTAGAACATGACACCCAATGTAGTAAAACATGCTATATTTCTAGGTGGTAGCATGAATATCAAGATTTATAAAATGCAACAAAGTATACCTCTGCAACATCATCATTGAAATGAGCATACAGTTTAGAATCTTCCAACTTCTGCTTTCTTCTGGCGCTGTCATTTTTGATTTTTCTCCTCCTGAAATATGTAAAAATACACAGAGTTAGATAAAGATGTCTTCCTGCATGGAGGATATGTATGGAAATGTAATGACATAGTGCATAGAGATAAAGAACACTAAACCTATCAAATGAATCTATCACAGTTTTTATGAAACCAACTGTAGTTTACATACACCTTGCAAAGACTGATATATAGTTGAGTTGTAAGCTAAATAAACACATTGTTATTGGCAAAATATGTTGGGGAAAAGATATACATGCCACAAGACCACTAATCAACTTCTGGTTCGTAACTGGAGATGAATTGGTGAAAACAACTCATAAATGTTATGAATTGTTTGTTAATAACTATGCTACAGGTACCAGCTGATTAAGCTCAGCAAATAGTGTGGATATGACAGATTAATTCATAATGAATTTTTGTGCCACAAATGTAAATGGTCAGTGTTTCTGTTACCTGTCTTTGACTTCTGCAAGTCTTTCCTCGATAGCCGGTGACTGGGAGTGATTCTCAGCAATTAACCTATGGGCAAAGTCTTCAAGAGTAGCCAACTAGAAATAAACAACACAAATATTACATTACAAATATTATTATAACAGTAATCAGAGAATTAGTGATTACAGAGCAAATTCTATGGTGATCCACTACTCACCGGTGACAGCACACAGAACCAACTGTTTTCCATATTCCAAACCTGAATGCAGTGAGCTTGGCAATGAGAGTATGTACTCTTTTTTTCACTGCTGAGTTGGCAACCGACCACAGGAGTTGAACCTGCAATACCTTTTAAGCTAGACGGACATGCTAACCACACATCTATCAATCGAGGACAAGACCTACCTTCTCATCTTGTGTGACTAATAACTTCTCAAAAGCTTCATGTTTCTTCTGGAGAGCATCAACCTGATCTACTGCATTACCAAAGTCACTACTTGCCAAGTACACCTATGAAAACAGAACATAAATACATCTTAACACATTGCTTTCAGACAATGTTATATTCCATTCATTTCAGCTATCCATAGATTGAATTAAATCAATCCTAGAAATACTAGATATTAATGAATTTGAAGCATAAAAATGCCGCCATTCATCTATCTGGAATCAAATCGTTAAATAAATAGATGTGCTAATCCCAAGATGTATCATGTATTGTGTGAAGTTTAAATGTGAACGGTCAAGGCATGTCGAGATGCAGAGACTATAATATACTGATTGATATTATAACCAAGTTTAAGATTGGATAAAAATTGTTATCTTGGATGCAATTAATGACACTGATAATGACATCGACAAAAAATGGTGACCATTATACTTTGCGACCAATATAGGACATAAATTGGTTGAGTAAGTATAGACACAAAAAAATGTTAACAACAATGACGACAAGGACAGACATAGCAACCACAATCTTAGGCAAGGTAAAAATGTGAATATATATTTTTATTATTTGTTTGATAAGAATATACCTCTTGTTGACTGCTGAGTGTGTCTAACTGTTTAGCATCTCTCATAAATACTTGGTAGTCGTACATTTGATCCAGATCGTCTTTCTTCTTCTGCCAGTTAGCGTGTAACTGTTCACGTTCATGTAACACTGCATCCAACTTCTCCTTCACCTGATGGATACAAGTGAATAGCGACAGTGTGATTCAGAAGAAGTATCAGTTGGTGTCCAAACGATATGAAACAGTAAATGTGAAAAACCCAACACAATACATAAATGGTACACACACCTCATCGGTGGCATAGTGATCTTGATCAACAAGCATTTCCCCAGCTTGAGCCACGCCTGCAAAAGTGTCCTCTCTTGCATCGATTTCCGCTTTTAACTGATCATGTTGGTTTATGAGAGCAGTAACGCTGGCTACGTCCCGGACTGGCTCTTCAGTCAGCATGTCTCGATTTACCTCACTGATCCAAGCTATCAAATCTCGGCTCTGAAACGCAAACATTTAGGAAATGATAGAGAAAATGGTTGGAAAGACTATCAATCACGATCCAAGTCATATCTGCAAATGACAATATGAACAATACTAACAGTAGCGAGGAATTTCTGGAAATCCAGAGATGAGTTCAGCATGTCCTTTCGTTGGGATGTTTTATCCTGGAGTTCATTCCAGTTGGCAACAACAGCTTCTTGTTGCTCAGCAATCTGGTCAGCAGTTTCCCCGGGGAATGCCTGTTGTAATCTGGCAGAGTCATCCAGAAGTACTTGCAACTTTAGTTAAATGAACAGAAAAAAAACACACATTTAAAACAAATTTTGCATGGTCATGGTTTCAAAACAGATACCATATCTGATGAAGGTTTTAGACTAAGCTCAAATTATCACAAAACATAAACATGATTGAATTTACAATGAAAACATTTCACACAATCCCAAGACAACAAGGTTGTATCTTACCTGTCCTTCCAGGGCTACAAGGTCATTTTCATAGGCTTCATGTTTACGAATCAGCTCCTGCACTGTATTCAAATCTCTACCAAGATCCTCAGGTAGAGCTGCTTCTTTTTCCTAAAACATAGCAAAATTATTGTGAGCTTTTTCAGATCAAATCATTTGTAAACCAACAATTTGTTCACAACTAAATTACACAAAAGATATCAAGGTTTTAAAACCTGATGAAACTATTTTAAAAATTGGGCATAACTCTGCTAACATCTCTGTTAAATAGATGGTTTTCACCAGGAATTTCTACAAGAATTTAAGAGAGTAAATCAGCAACATCCATTTTGAATGAATGGATCTCACTAGAAACCACTGTTGACCTACCTGAATTCGAGAGAGTGCATCGGCAACATCTCTGTTAAAGCGATGAATTTCACCAGCACCACGTAGACCCTCATCTCGGTCTCCAATCTGTGCAAGCAGGTTCTGATAATCAGCCCTGGAAAAAAATAAGAAATGATGTTAATGTTTTGGTTTTCTACAGCCTGTCAGTATGGAAATCATTAAGCATGAATCATATATGGCCAGTATTTGAAATGTACATATATGTATCTTAAAAGCCAATGCAATATATCCTCTTATGGTTGTTCACACTGTAGTTGAATAGTACCCACTGTGGTTATCGTATTGTCTGGGTCAATACGTAATTAATTTAGTTGATTGCAGTATGTATTTTTTGAGAACCAGTACAACACATACATATCAAATAATCGTTTTTTTTCTTCAAAAAAGTACTGCATAACAAATATCCTAAAATTAGGACATCAGATTTTGGAGACTTACTTTAAAGCTTCTTGTTTGTCAGCAATAGCTTGTGATTCTGGATGCTTATCTTCCAGTAGTTGTCGCGCCAACTCCTCACACTGCGCATACCTCTCCGATCCGGCATCAACTCTCCTTTTGAAATCATCAAACTTTTGTTCTAGCATCTTGAAATATATAAAGCAGGTTTTACATACATGGATTACATGAAGATTTTATCATTTTGTTATTCATATGAGATGCACACTTGGGAGAAATCAGATTTAAGTACCTGTAAATGTTCATAATCTTGTCCGTAATCCTCTGATGATGCTAACTGTTGTTGATCGGCAATCCATTTAGCGAGATCATCACTCTCTCTCATATATTCATGAAATCTTTTCGAGTCATCCAGCTTATCTCTTCTGGCGGCTGCAGCCTTGGATAAATCACCGAGCTGGCTTTGCAGAATTTCCTACATACCAGATATAAAATGATATGGAATCAAATGGTTTTTATACTCACCAACAGCAATGATTTTAGCTTCAAAGCACCTTCAATTCAACATTTTCCTTAATTCTATTATTCTGATACACGCTTAGCTTCTCTGAGTGTCAAATCAGAGTTTCTAGTTGATTTACAGACATAACACGCTAGACCATACAGAATCTTCTAAAATACCATGCAACTTAAACACATGTGTTTCCAATAGAAGAAATATGGTCTACAGCTTTATATAGGAATGAAGAGTGTCAAGCAAATAAAAAGTTACTTTCTGCATGCACTCACCTGTCTTTTTGCAATGTCTTTGGAATCAGGATTTCCTTCTTCTATCATTTTTTGTGCCTCTGCGTTCAAATCACTAACTATTTTATAATAGTTATCAATGTCATGTTCTAACGCCTGTATAATAAACACAAACAATTTTATTAGGTATTAGCACGGAGAACTGGAAGTAAAGGGACATGAAACTGATTTAACTTAGTCTAAAGAAGATTTTATATTTGAATGTAGATGTCATTTTCCAACAGTAAAGATTATTCATGCCAAAACACAATGTACTGTCTATGGTTGCCTATGACTTGTCGCTTGAAAACAAGTTTGGAAGTAAAAGTCATCCATACCTTATGCTTTGTAAGGGCTTTCTCTGCAGCATCTTCATCTTTACCATAATCTGCATTTTTGGCAAGGTTGGCTTTCTCCGCTATCCACGCTTCAACCTCATTGGCTTGAGAAAAGTACTGCAAAGAGAAATTTACATTTGTTGGCAATTCTGTAAATGGTTACTAAAATTTGATTATACAACACTTGGTTGCACTGAGAACCTGATTATGGTAATCTGCTGACAATAACAAGCAGATCTAAACATTTAACTTACTTTTTGTGCCTGCAACGATTGATCTAAATTCTGTTTGCGTTCATTGGCTAGATCAAAGAGGCTATCCCATGCGTCTGATAGGTCATTACACTGTTGCTGTATGTCTTCTTTTGCAAAATGATCAGCGTCAACTAACGACTGGCCACAAGCTAAAACTTTATCAATGTTTGGTTGATGACCTGTTAATTCCATCTCTAATTTCTGGAAAACAGAATAAAATGAATTAGTTATGCAATTTGAGCTGAGTTTGGGGACATGTGGTATTTTGCAATTCTAGGGCAATAAAATCAAGAAATAGTAGCAGTATGTACCCCGGGCAGTAGTGAAAAACGCAGAAAACAATCTTGTGTATGTGATCTCTATTTTAAAATGTTATCAAGGAAAATTCAAACACAAATTCAAACAGGAAGTCGAAACAAAAACCAATGTTCAGAAACACTGAAATGTTCATTACACATTTCCCACATTTCATGCAAATGCAGACTATACATATCACATCACAGAATAGGCGAAGGATCCCAACAAAGTTCTATGAATGCTTTCAAGATGCAACTTTTTTAACAAAATAAAGTTTGTGTAGCAAAGCTCCATACCTGATGTTTTTTGTTCAGTTGTTGGGCTGCATGTAAAGTCTTCCCATAGTCAGTAGACGAGGCATATGGTATGTGTTCTTTTACCCACTGGTTTTCAGCATCAATATCATGGTAGAATTGTTGTAATTTCAACGAATCTTCTAACTGTGCCTTACGTTTAGCGGCCGGATCTTTCAAATTGTCATACCTATCAATACAAACCCAGTGCAATATTAGTCTCAGCTATAGAGCCGCATTAGTGTATGTTATTGCAATGGACAATCCATAAAACACACATGTTCATTTTTCAACTAAAGTAACCTTCAGTGTATAACAAGACAAATCCTATAATTTATTTACAGACTTTTTGAGCTGTACTATGCCAGCTGATCTCAAGGGCGATAGAATATATTGAGCTAATACATTTGAGAAAGGGTTATTAAAGATTATGCAACCTTTACAACAATGTATAGTGATATGTGATAAAGATCTCATGAAGTCAGTTTATACATCAACATATCCCTGTCAACTGTTGAAAGATTGTTATCGAGCTTTTAATGTGCAGCACATATTACAACATAGTGAGATTACCTGGCAGAGAGATCCGCGGCATTGGCAAGAATGCGGTCAGCGTCAAAGTGTCCTTCATCAGCTAAGGTATGTGCCTGTGAATTCAAATTATCTATCTTTTCTTTCTCAATGGCCATGTCTCCTTCAAGTAACTACAAAATTAATATATAAAACCAAAAATTAGAATAGTCTGATCATCTTAATAAAGTTATTCAGAAATAAGCCTTGACTTCAGCAGAGAACTGTGAACTCCACAAGGGCAGACATACCTGGTGTTTCTTGAGTAAATTTTTCACGCTTCTCAGATCATGGCCCACGTCTTCTGAGGCTAACAACGCTTCAAGCTGAGCGAGACTCAGTCCTGTGTCTTCTAATAATTTATTCAGCAGGTCTTGCTGAGTAGCTTGTGTCAGCTTCTCTGTCTTATCAGATGAATGGCCATAGAGGGCAGCCCAGTTTTTGTTCAAATCGTCCAAACGTGCCTGGACATCATCAGAGGCATAGTTGCCATCATCAATCAGTTGATGACCTTCCTGTAACCGTGAAGTGATGGAGATAATTACACATTAAAATGAAATTAAACTTTGCTGAAAAATTTGATTGTGATTCACATGTTAACACACAACAATATGATGTCTGTGTTACATGAATAATATCATGTTGTCATGGTAAATGTCAGTCAGTCATGCATTATCTTCTTATCTTGCACTGGATTTAAATATGAAATATTTCTAGTGCTTTGTTTTAAGGAACTGACACTTTGATAGTCACATACAAATATTGATTTCAGCAATGTCTATTACTGGCCAATCTCATAAGCATACCATAGAACCCGAGACAAAGTACATCACTTCACCGCACACCATACCTGGTTAAGCTTCTCCATTCTATCTTTATTAGCTACGAGATCAATTTCGAATGCTTGGTGTTTCTTCAGCTGACTTTGCAAGTTTGAAAGATCTTTGAAAGAGTCATCCATGGCAAACTGCTGCTTTTCGTCTACCCATTCTGCCAACTAGAAAACAAAAATATTGACATTAACTCCAAAATATGGCTCAGTGTACATGTGCTATTATTCAACAAATTATTGGCACCAACCTCGTCTGCATCTCTACAGAATTCTTGATATCCCTCCGACTGTTTCAACATATCATGTCTATGTTTACTTTTGTCTTTCACTTTCTGTCTTCGATTTAAGACTTCTTCAGTTCTATTCTGAATGCTGTTGAGAAAAGAAAAAAACAATATACTATATCAGAGGGCATAGAAAGTGTCCGGTGCATGTAAACCATGTTTTTCACAAACACATACATACAGTGCATGACATATTGGTTGATTTACAACATATGCCTTTATTGAAGAGGAATGAACACTCGAAAATTGTATCCTTTAAATTCCATCAATAAATTGATGATTTTATTGTCATGTCATAATTTTGACTAATTATGTCCACGTATGTCATAAAATTTGCTATTTCATTGAATCCCTGCATTATCATCATTAAATGTCATCTACCAAACATCTATCATCACAAGTCTACTTGGCAAAAAAAAAAAAAATTAGTGAAACATCACAAAATATTGAAAGTGTTGTAGATGGAAATTTGTGACAAAATCAAACAGAAAATCAGACACAACAAGCAATCCACAAATAGGGTATGCAGTCAATAAAATCAAATAAATTTCCAAGAAACCAATTCTTTGTCGTGCATTGCAAACCTTGTCACTGACAGTTTGAGTTAAGAGATTACATTGCATACGTACTGTGGAGTTGCATAGTGATTTGCTAAGATCAGCTTTTTAGACATATCACTCAAAGAATTGAGTCTTTCATCTTGTACAGCTAATGTGTTTTCAAAATCTTCATGTCTTTTAAGGAGTCCCTCCACACCTTCCACAGTATCCTGTAAGATCAAACAGATAACATCTCAACTGCTCCCAGTGGTGATATAACTTTAATCTTTTCACCATGAGTTTTCACTTTTCATCCAATGTCACCAAGGAAAATCATTGGATAAGAAGAAATAATTGCACCATAGAAACCAGTGAAAAAATGTAAATTTGGATGAATTTTCTATGACATTTCGACCTATAGTTTCTTCAAAAATTCCTAAGTAGTCTCAGTTTTTGTTTCATTTTTGGTTTCCTAATGGCATTAAACCGGCATTTGCTATTAAATATTTGGTATAAAACTGTTACATTTAACTGTGCATAAGATGCTTATTCTGACAATAAGATGCATTAGATTACCCCAAGATCATTGTACTCGAGGAATGCTTCGTGACCGCTTGTAATGGCATCTATGTGGTCAGCCTCTCGGTTGAATTGCTGTTGATAATAGAAATTAAAACATTTACTAAATTAAATTAATTATTCAATGATACAGATAACACTTAATGATTATAACATATATATATGAATTTTGTAATATTTTTTCACAAAATGTAGTAGTCGATATATACGACTTACCGCAAGATCCAGACAGTCGTGTAACTTCTGGTTCCTACGATTCCAAGCAGCTTCTATTTCTCGTTTGTCGTCTATGAGTTTGTTCATCTTATGCCTGACAGTGGCAGACTCGGGTGACACTTGTAAAACACGATGACCCAAGTCCATCAAATCTTTAAAACTAAATTGAGAAAACCAGTTCAGAGAGATATTGATATTTCTTGCTACAAGATATTATTGTTATTTTCTATTGTATTTATAGAAATGTTTTCTCGTCCCATTTCTAGACAAGCTCCAGTGAGGCTAACAATTATAGAATGGACACTATACATCACAGCAGAGCGGATTACAGCAGATGTTTTTATTCTGCTGCACATATCCAAAACAAGCAGCCTCTAGGCCGAGATAGCTCCCCTGTTAACAATTCACATTTCAATTACAAAATTGAAGATATCATCACAAAATGAACAAATCTGAGGGAGGTCCACCTGAGGTACCTTATATGTAAAATATCAGAGCAATGTGACTTCCGGTTTTCAACAAGAAAATTACAACCAAAAATTACAAAAATATTCACCAATATTAGAGAATTATAGATATCATCACGAAATAAACAAATCTACAAGAGGTCTACCCAAGGTACATGTACATATACATCAAGTATCAAAGCAATCAGGCTTGTAGTTTTCAAGTAGAAGTCGACAAAGTCGAAAGCGGAGCTAAAAATTTTGCCATGACTTACTTGTCATTATGTGCATTGATATCAGCTCGTAAATCTTGATGTTGTTGGATAAGTCCCTCAGTTCCCAGCACATCTCTTGCTAACTCTGTATTAGCTAATTCTAGCATTGTATCGTTACACCATGATTGCTAAAATAAATAAAAAACAAACCAACATTATTTATAACAGCTTTTAAAATTGTCATTTCAATTTGAGCTATAAAGTTCTGTACATCGATTGCAGTTGCATCATTTTTTTTTTCACTCGCATTTATTTTAAGAAAATAAGGGGGTGGGGGCAGTAAAATTCCTGTACTTACAAGGTCTTTAGCATCAGCATGGAATTTACTAATATCGTAGGCTGCGTCTAGTTTGGCCTTTCTAGTGGCTACTTTGTCTTGTAAAGCATCCCACAATGCATTGATTTCTGTCTGCTTCTTAGAAATCACTTCAGTTTCACGGGGATATGATGTACGCACACTGAAATCAAAGTCAAGTCACATGTTATGTACCTTACATGTACACTAACCCTAAGCTGAATAGTTTTGACCTCCTATCACCCATTTATGAATCACAGATGCAGTATGTATGTTACCGGTAAAATGTCACATTTGTCAAGCAGCACATTTCAATTTTATACACACAATTGACGATACAGAGCCCCAACAGAAAACTGGACAGTCGAATCTTGCAAATTATAATATAGTTTCTATTGACATAGCATTCAAACCATCATGTCACTGTACATAGCTCAGTATATGGCAGTAAAAATGGCGTTGTTTTTGTGTGAACCATTCTTTGCATAGCGCACATACAACAAAAACATACAATTATAAATAGAACTGTCATTTATAGATAAGTGAAAATTGGTTGTAAGGTCATGTGTTACACAAATTGTTGTGAACTTGCATCATGGTGTCTCAGTTAGGAAAACGACCAAGATACACAATTTTCTCACAAAATATGACAGCTGTACACATAATATCCTAAGATCCAACTGATACACACAACTCATTCCTGTCTGCAGTGTCCGTACATGGTACAAGCCACAAAATACTCATTCCTGCTAGATCAATTCATAATTTATTATGCCAGTAGTGAAATGATATTAACTTACGCCTTAGCCAGCATTCCTAGTTTATTTAGTTTATGTTCTACAGGTGCCAGTTCTCTCTCCAGGTTCCGATGCTTCCTCATGAGTGCATCCACAGCACTCTGGTCTTTGACAAGCGTTATATCGTCATTTGTACACAGGGCATCAGACTTCTCCATAATCCAGTCTTTTGTCTCATCCCAAGTTTGATTGTAAAGCTCAATACTGTAATAATTTGATATATAGAAAGATAAATACATTATTTTATTAATAAACTGTCCACAAGAATTCACTCTTTATTTTTTTTTCAAGAATGCCTGATAAATATAGATTTTGACACATCATCAACTTCTTCATTTTTTAAAAAATATGTACCAATGATATTTTTTTTTGGAGGAAAAAAAAATGACTGAAAAAATAAACCTTTTCGGAACTATTTCTAAAGGAATCAAAATATAAATAGTATTTATAAGAATTTTGTAATACCTGTATCAAAATTACATCTAATATTTACACCTTTATGTAACCAAATGACATTTTGAGATGCAATGAGAACATTTGATGAAAACAATAGTAAATGATCCTGAAGACACCATTTCAATTATAGTGATAATTTGTGAGAAAAATAGCTCAGTGACCATATACTTTAATCTGGGTTTTGGTAAATCTGATCGTTTGTTTTAATGGTAGCCAACTACCTATTATTTATTAAATATTAAAGCAATCTACTTCATGATTCAGTATGTAACTTCTCAAATATATTAACTTACCAGGAAAACAAATTACCAGAAATTGTTTTCTGTAAATTATCTACTAATTATACAAAACACAAAAAATCATAAATAATTCATATAAACTGAATGAAATCCAACACTACTACAAATAAGCAAGGCAGTACATTTGAGATTACAGACTTACATGGATTACAGACTTACCCAGAAACACCTTCCATCAGTCGCTCTTTATCCTCTCGGAGCTGGTTTAATTTATCCCACCTTTCCTGTACAACCTTCTGTCGATCTCTCACAGCTTGTTGTTGACTGTGTCCAGTCTCTACAAACTCATTGGCCATCTTATTGATCTTATCCATACGAGGGGCGTTGGCAGCAATGTCAGTCAGCAAGTATTCAAACTTTCTCTTCATTGTCTCCATGTTCTCAGTGAAAGATTCATCCTTTCTCAATGCTTTTTCCTGAAATCAAGGCATTGGATTTTCTTACGACATTCAGAGATAGCATGTCTTAAACGAGTTAAGTTAAATAGTTAACTACTTTTATTGTAAAGTCTAGCAAATTTTAAACCAATCAACGGTATTTTGCATCTCATGCTTCCAAAACAATAAAATTCTTCGTTTATTTTTATCATGCAAGCCAAGGATAATAGGTGCATAAAGGACCACCATGTCATCAGTCATAAAGCGTCAGAAGGGTCAGGTAAGAAAGAAAATTGCAAAGCAAAAATTTTAAAAGGCTTAGTTTTGTGAAGAAAACATACAGCCAAATCAACGTCAGTTTTGCAAAAACTCAGTTCATGGGAAAGTTTAAACTAGTTTATAATAAAGTATGAAGTAAAATATCCATGCAACATGCGGTTAATCTTGAATAAATAAAGATGAAATATACGGTTACAATATCATCATCTGACAATTGCTCTTATAGCGAGCAAATGGAACAGACTATAATGATGGAAAATCAAAGTACTAATGTTCCGTCACCAACTTAAATAAAGCACCAGTGTCATTGGATGAGTTTTGAGGTGCACTGTTCTTAAATTTTGGGATTTCTGGGATGCATAAGATGGGTATGCTATTACAGGATATACCATTGACCACAAATGGAGAATTGAATGTAATTGGCTGATACTGTTGTTGAATTACCTTCATTTTGATAGCAACACCTAAGATTTGCTAAAAACAACATAAATACACAGATTAATGGTTATTTCCAAAAACGACCGAGTGATGCGTTCATTTATTGCCACTTTTCTACGCTACCTACGAAATTTATGGTATTATGGGACCACACAACAATAGTTTTGTCTTTACAGGGATTTTGTCTGATATTTTGATGCCGCTGGATGGGTCACATGGTAGCAGGAACACGCGTCTTTGTCTAGTAGAAGAAAAGTTCATGCAAAGGCTTCGGTAAAGATTATAATAGTCTGAAAGTTGACACGTATTGTGCCACTAAAGTATGTTCATTTTGTCACTCAGAATATAGTTAAGAAACTCTGTTCAAAATGACTAAAATGTTTATAGTAAAAATCTACCAAGCATTATGATGACAATTTTAGCACAAAACAAAGAGAAATTCTGAGTACATCATTTCAGTTACCCAGAATGCATTATAATATGCGCATGAAGATATAAAAAGCAAAGCTTTCCATTGTTGAGATGTTCCCAATCTGAGAATATCCAGAGTTGAAATATAGATCTTTCCTATCATACCTTCTCCTTCATCCAATCTTCAAAGTCGTCACACTCTCGATTGAAAGAATACAATGTGATGGCGTCCTCGATGTAACGATGTCTGGCCTGACCTAATTTACATAATCTCTGATATGTAGTGTTAATGCTCTTCTGCCTCAGCTCCACATTTTCCTTATCAAAATGAGCGGCTTTCTCTCTGCGGACTGAATAATTAAAAGTAATAAGTGTATGGAATGGAATATACACCAACTTAACACCAATATTTCATTGTACAGCCCACCCCTTCCACTACATGTACAATGTAGTTAGAATGGGAAAGGAAGTTTATCAATTCTAACATTTTTATATTAACTTACAACTCTGAGTTCTTCCAAGTCCAGCGCCAGGCTTCTTTTTTTTCACCAGCATCTGTTTGGTTTTTGTTTTCTTTACTTTCACCTTTTCTGGAATTGTCACCTTTCTTTGGACCTTTCTTTTTATAACTCTGGGTTCCATTTCTTTAACGTAATTGGCTGGCACAAAACCTTCTTGCCCAGTAGCTCTTTTCACGTTCCACCAGTCTCTGTTTGTCTTGGCCACCAGTAACATAATCTGAGAAGTGAAAAGAAGATAGATCCATTGTAGGAGATCAGTATACTATACTTCGTATAACAGCAAGATACATCAAAAGTTTTCACGTTCATGACAGAACTTTGGATTGAGAAGACGCTCGGGATGCCTCACCTCTCCTTTAGCTATATCCATACCCTGGCCTTTATACGGGTACATGGCCTTCACCTGGGGATATTTCTTCTCTTCAACAAAATCTTTGAGAACTTCTCTATTAACTACCGTTAATTCTTCCACTTCATAAGGAACATCAACCAGCTCTGTGACATAATCATCTTCGTCTTTGGTCGGCGACATCGGCGTCTGTGGAGAAACGAGGCGAGTTAAGATCAAGACAAGGCTTTGATTTGAGGAAACTGTCTGGATGATATTGTTAAGCAGACTCACATTGTTGATGTCTGTGATCATCATTTGCTGTGCTTGCTCTTTCAGTCGTTTGATATCCCCTTCATAGGCACGAATCTCTTCCTCCAGCCTCTCATGTTTAGATAAGATAAGCTTAGCGCCCTCTATGTTGTTTCCATAATCATCACTGCAAACAAGAGGCATCTTTTCCCTCATCCAAGATTCAGCCTCGTTGGCATCGGTATAATACTAAATACAGTAGATAGATATAGTTAGTCGGTTGTTTCTTATTAAGCAGGCCATCCTCAATACAGATCTGGTAGACGGTTGGTTTCTTATTTTCAAGGCATACTCAGTGTGTGACAAAATATACAGCGCCCTCTATAGACCAAAATGAAGATCTGGCAGCGTAACTGACATTTTTTCAATCATGACGAGAATTGAATACTAATAAACCACTATAATTTCCGAAGGGACAAATGAATGATAAATCTGTGATTATCAAGTCATTGATAAGAGCAATATTCACTTGCAGTGTGAATTTCTTAGGAAAAGAATGCTAAAGACAGTTAGAAACTTTTGTAAAAATTTAGCAAACACAACCATCATCATACATATTGTCAAATTTTGAAAAAACAGTTCGCAACACTTCAAATGTGGAAACTATTTTCATTTACTGAACCTGAATATCAGCCAAAACAATCATTTTTGCAGTACCTGATGAGCTTGAAGTGCGTCTTCAAGTCTGTATCTTCTTTTTTCACTATATTCCTTAAGTTTACTCCATTTTTCTTTAAGACTGTCGATACGTAGCTGAATGTCATTTTTTGCATAGTGGTCAGAATCTCTTAACTCAATCCCAGTGGCAAACACGGCATTGCAAATCCTCTCTCTTGAAATCATTTCTGCTTCTAAAGCCTGAAAACAATCATAAATATTTTTCTCAAGATATCAATAACAATACACAGATTACCGTACAACTAGAGATATATGTAAATGTATTTCACCCATGTCAATTTTAATGTTGTTAATCTGGTATAGTAACCATGGTGAAGGCAAAGCTCCAGGATCTTCATACGTATTACATGTAGAATACCTCATACTAGAACCCTTGACCTCAATTAAGGTCTACATAAAAAATATAAAAATACATTTCAGGTACTATGACAACAATTTTGATAATTGTTTTCAGTTTTCCAATTTCAGTGGCAAATTTCAGAAATTATTTCACTGACTAAAAAATGTCATTGTTGCCATAGAGGGCGTACTTTCATCCCAAAGAAGGTTTGCTGCTAATACACAAAATGTCACTAATGCCATAGAGGGCGTACTTTCATCCCTAAGAGGGTTTGCTGCTAATACACTTTCCACAAGGCACACTAAATAATTTTTGTTTGCACCAAAGATTACAATGTATTGGCATACAATACACTGGTGCAACTTCAACAAATACTGTATTTGTGTTTACTGTACTGGTATATGTATACTGAATCATAGAAATTATACTTATTTTGACACATTTCATCAATTATGTACAGTAGAATACTTTATTTTCGCTATTTTCACTGAAGGAATGGTTCAGTGAAAATAAAATCCAGTGAATATACCTGTTTTCCTATATTTTACATTCAACTCGTCAAAAGTCAGTGAAATTAAATTCCATGAAAAACACACAAAAAGTCTTTTCAGCAAAAATGAAATCCTGCTAAAATAAAGTATTTTACAATATACCAAGTACATGGGCTATTAATATATATACTATTATTACCAACTGCAATTATTACGTATTCTTATACAATTCACAAAAGATTTTTCAAATACTTTCAATGCAATTACCACATGTTATCAGTGTGAATTTCATACTACAGTGGACATACAAATGAGGGTATTTCATTCAGCAAATGACGTACAAATAAGGTCATTTTGTACACCAATCGTAATCAAAAAAATGTTCTCAGTAGAATGCTTCAATTAAGAGAGAGGATATGAACCACACCACTGCACAGACAGGCTAACTACAGTTTTAGATTGAGATAACATATGGAAATCAAAGTTCTTTTGTCCTTGTTTCTTTCTGCTTTTTCAGTTTTCAATATAAAAACAAGTTACATGTACCTAGACACATGTCTGTGCATACTAATGACGGTAGGCGAAGCGTCACAATGCGCATTGAAAGTCATGTCACAGTATCATTTGTATTGTTTTGTAATGATAGGTCAAAGGTGACTGACAATGTAATGACCCATTTTATGGTACGCGACACACAGAATGTGGTGAGTATGTTTACACACTACATAAATGCACTGTGTGATACGTGTCTATATTACACGTATGTGCATTAATGCCACTTTTAGACCAAATTGTAGCAGGTGTATACAACCCATGTACATCACACGTCTGTTAGCAAGTTGGTACCAATGTTTATACAAGAGGTCATTTGAGATCATAAAATGATTTAGACCAAAGGTTAAATGAACACAGGTCATGTTAATACTAACCTGGTGTTTCTGCAACATAGAGACGACACTACGAAGATCTTTACCAGTTACCATGGACTTTGCAATTCTTTGTTTTTCCATTAACCACGATTCCTCTTCCTCACTATCACGCAAGAACTGATAGAATTTCATGGATTCTTCGAGCCGGGCCTTCCGAGCGGCGCTGAGATCCGATAATCTGTCAATTGGAGAAAATACATTCATATCATGCAGTAGTGACATGTTAAAATACAATCCCTGTATGCCTATTGTAGCATAGTGCCGAGCATACCGCTTTTTTCCCTTTTTGTTGTTGTTGATTTCATGAGTGAAATGACTGATCTGAAATGAAAATATGGTGTGAAATGTACATTACTGATAAATGTAATGCCATGAATTGTCCTGTCAGGAATAAAAAATGATGTGCAATTAATGTTCAAGAGAAGACTACATAGGGGCAGTTTTATCAGACAATACTTTATCAACAGATATTGTCAAAGTTGTTTACTTCTAAAAAGTTCTACCATAAGGCAGCTAGATTAAAAAGAAAAAGAATATTTTTACATTATCTTCAATTTATTGAGCTGGATGTGGTTGTTTCAATTGCAATTCTTCAAATTTGGTAATTCCCTGTTTTCAAGTAAGAAACTAAATAAGACCCAATACTAAGACGTTTTGAGCTTAAATGTAACATAACAGTTTGAAGAACTTGATTAAATTTGACATGTACAAAATGGTACGTGAATGGGGCGTGTGAGTGCGTTGGATAGGAGATCAAACCAAATCTAATCTAAGTTGATATTTAAAATCCTCTTCAAATGTAAACCAATGGGGAACTAAAATGGTAACATTATTTTTTGGAAAAAGCACAATGTTCATAATAATCAGTTTTGGGGTTGCATGATTGCAATCTGCTGTTAGCTTTTTCTTGTTTACGATGTTATTAGTAGTTATTACAATTATAAATAGCTATGCACTGGTCATTACCGTGTGATAACTGGGCATGGATGGGTTATACTTACAAGTGACCATCCACATCCTGTCATACAACAACATTGGTCAGTACATTACACTATATTGCTATAACCTATTATACATGATATATATGGACAACAGTATAGAATTTATTTAATAATTCTCATCGATAAACAAACTTCAGAATTATGCCATGACAGTCAAATGTTGGTTAGAAAGATGGGTAATTTAGAAGAGTGTCCCTGATTGGCTGCCTAACCAAACAATGCAACCAATCAGGTGACCCAATCTACAAATATTAAATAAGCAATGTAACAATGAATAGCACTGCTCAAATACAGACGCAATATTTGCTCTATTTAAAGCACATCTCCAATACTGGTGCACATCTTCCAAATATGTTTTCTTTGGTTGGATTTCAATCATTTTGGAGATTTTTACATGAGTGCATGCACTTCTAATAAAACAAATATAGTATGATTATTTTAGATTCAGTTCTGATCAGCAGTTATGAATAAACCAAACAAATTCTATACTTAAAGCAGTCAAAACACAGGATGAGAACTTGAGTATAAGCTAAGTTTGATTTTTTTTTTGGCAAGCAGGAATTTGATATAGTGTTATGGAGTAATCAAATACTCCAAGTATACATCACTCACTGTGCAGGGTCATAATCATCTAATCCATAGACCTCACAAAACATTCTGTAAGAGGGGAAGAATACTTTGAGAATAAATCATAACATTAAGTGTTACCAGGATGCTAGAACAAGCATTAACCAATAAGAAGTTGGGAGAATTTACATGTTAGTCAAGACAAGGGTAATATAATAGAACATGCAATATTACAAGATTACTATTATTTTCTCCTAACCTTTCCTTCCAGAGTAATTTGAGTTATGTTATGAGAGCATACAAAATCTGAACACTTTTTACTGCTTCAGAGACACACACAATGACTATATGTATAATGGAATTGATATACTATATACCAGGTAGGCACCAGTGATAGAGGGCTCAGGTTAATAGGTGTCCCCAGGGTTGGGGGGGGGGGGTTTCAGGTCAATATGTGCTGCCATAGAGGTCCAGGTCAATAGGCATCATCAGGATTGGGGGGAGGTGAGTCAGGTCAAAAGGTGCTGCCATTAGAGGTTCTGGTCAATAAGTGCTGAAGGGACACTCAGGTCATACATGGCAAAGATAGAATGACCATCAACTCGACGTTGGAAGTACAAGTTCATAAACGATAGAATTTAAACTCACTTTTTATACTCAAGGTTGATATCGTCCAACTTGGCTTTAATGGAGTCACTCTCAATATGGTCGTCAGCTAAGACTTTATCTGCGGTATTGTTGACTTTCTCTAGACGATTTCCAATTGAGTTTATCAGTGTCTCGACGAGACTATGTCGCTGCAGAAGATCCTCTACACCAAACAAATGTTTGCCGTAATCTTCTGATTTCAATCCACCCTGGAATATAAAGTTACACAACATGACATGAGAACTGATGTTCATTTCACAGGCATAAAGGTAACACCTAGAGATTGTGCAGTTTTCTCGATTAATTACACTCAGTGCCACTAACAACCACTGTTGAATGCATACAGGGATTTTACTATACAGCTGTGACAATATTACCAAGTAGGAATAGTGACAAAACTTCCAACTGAAACCAGACACCATTGATACCCAATTCAATGTTTATTCTGAAATAAATTTTAATTTAATTTGCATCTATACCAAACATTCTTGTTTCTCCCAATAAACCCAATTGAGATATAAAATATAGATGCATTTTTTAGATAAGAGTGGTATCTGGTTACCTATACGTGTAAGTTTAACCCTTTGAAACACCGTAATTGTTTTAGACGTTTTTAATTATTTTTCTAAAATTTCTTTGGTAATTTTGAGCCAATTAGACATTATTTTACATTGCTAGCAGGTAATGATCAAAATTGTTGAGAAAAAATTAAAATAATTTTAAAAAACAATCAAAAAAGTAAACAAATACAAAACAACATTTACTTTGATGGTCAAAGGGTTAAATCTAAAGGAATTCACAAGTCAGGCAATAGACATACAACCCTGGCATGGCCAACCTATGTTATAAGGTGTGATAGTTAGCATAACAACCAATAATCTCATTACGTTCAATGCTCTTGTTGAATATCCCAAACTTACACATAGATACTCAATAAAGCAAAAATCTCCCCCACTGCTTGCCATACTTTAACAAATGAAGAGAATTCAAAATGGCTACCATTGAACTTTCACCTATTTTTCGACCATATGCAATGGCTAACTTTTGTATTTTTGATTTGATTTTAAGATATGGCGTAATTAATCCTTTGAGCGTCATTGTCAACTTTTGACAATATCAACAAAATGATTTTTCTACAGTCTGCTCCTCCCCACATGAAATGTTGATATATAATTAGACAAACTTTTTGATCAAAAATTAAAACAATATCAGAAACTGTCAAAATGATTATAAAATTTAGTGACAATTTTACAAAATGTGAAAATATTTGAACTAAATTTTTGGCGAGACAAATATCTGGCACTCAATGGGTTAAAATAATTGTTAATATTCTCAGCTTGTCAGCGTTCGGAAAATGGTTCTGTCCAAGATGTCAAAATACCGAACCTGTCATATAATTCATAATTTAATTTTGGGTTCTAAAATTATCATTGAAATTAGATATTAGTAGCCCAGTATAACAACAATTCCTTCATTATTATTGTGAACATTGAACAAGAGCATTGAATTGTATGATCAGATGCAGATATTAGAATACGTAATGTTAATGCCGACTGGATGCATTGGAAGCAAGCAAGCCTATACCAAAGAGCACTCACAAAGAGAGAAAAAGACCTGCGGGCTAGACTTATGGGGTAAGCAATAAGACCAACCTTCATCTTATCCTGTAGGGAAAAGTATGGGAGGAAAGAAAACATTGCATTGCCATAAAAATTAAGAATTACTAAATAAATTCAAAAAGTAGCATAAATTATGAAAATAAGAGAAGCTGGAATATGAAGATACGAGAAAAAGAGTGTAAAGGCAAGAGCATCTAGAGCGGGATTTCTCATCTTGTAAAAACAAATTATATTTCCATACAATAAATTTGGCATTTTGGATGATTTGTGGGAAATAAGGGTCAGGAAGCAATAGCAGCTTATCCATGTTGTTTTTAAGGTGATGAAAAAAAGGAAAGTTTATATTTGTAAGAAGTTTATACACAATGCTGAAAGTATAAGGTACAAAAGGATTCCATTTTCTGCTCAGAAAGCCATGAAAAAAATAATCATCAATTTTTGTGCTGCCAGTTGATCAAAGATTGTAGGAATGTCCATTTAACAGGCATTCTCTTGAGAGGGACTTAAACGTAGTCTTCTAAACATTTTTAAACAAACAAAAAATCAATTTACTGTATTTTCTTGACAGATATGGTTCTAAACATTGAAAAACTATTAGTCAGTCTATAATTAGAATCAAAACCAGTGACATAATCCCTCAAAGTTAATCATCTCAGACTTTACCCATCAATCAACAGAATACCCATAATTCATTCTCATATATCCAACAAAACCAGAAGTAGGTTTGTTTGCATGATGTCTGGAACCAACCACACCAGAGCAAACAGGAAGTAACCAATATATCTCAGAATTTAAACATCATTTATGAGATGGTTACATACACAGTTTAAAAATTAATTATTTACATATTTAATATGCTACATATAAATATAATGCTTAGGGACAACGTCAAAAGATCAATGTCGGATAAAAAACTTAATTCCTTTAGTTTTTTTCCAAACTGAAACTTAATTGATAAATATTGGTCATGGCGTCAGACTACATTCACCATTAAATACAAATTGATAATTGAATAGCAGTTGGCTGTCGGGTGGGTGTAAAAAGATTTTACAAATGCACCTCATTTGACGCACAGATTTACACTCAAACCAAACCATTTTTCTGTTTTTTTCCCTTTTCGGTTATTTCTGTCCATGATTGGATAGAAAAAAAAATGAACTACAAATACTCCAAGATTTTTTTGACTTCATTAAAAAATAAAATCGTTTTTGTCGGATGGAAACTTTTTGAGGTCAAAACCCCCCACCCCCAAACTAAAGGAAATAAGTTTTTTATCCGACATCGATCTTTTGACGTCGTCCCTTAGTTAACTGTAAAGTTCAAAACATATGCCTTCACAGAGATATTATAATACTATGTAGAATATACCAGTAGTCAACATTTCATTAAATCAATTATGACAATTGGAATAATGATTGAGGAAGCACCAGAAATAGGAAGACACTTGAACAAAGTGCATTACATATGCGAACATGTACATAACTGAATATGTAATGGTTATTTTTCTCAAAAAGACGTTTTCTCTAGCGTCTTTTATTACACCAGCTACGTTACTGATAACTATTGTGCATGTGTGAACTCAATTTCAAAAATACTAAATAAAACTTACCTCAACTTCTTTCATCTCGGCACGTATATTGTCGATTTCTCTGTACATACCAATTAATTCAGAAATTCCTTTTAATTGTCTTTTTCTTTTGTCCAAATCGGCCAATAAGTTTTGCCATTTAGCGATGATTTGCTGCTCTCGCACTTTAATCTCGTCTTTGCCATGGTAACTCTCACGTACCAGCTCATCTGCCATTTTGGAGAGATTTTCAAATCTGTCAGTCTGTAATAACAAAACAAAGTACATCCTTACAATGATTAGTGTATAAACCTGTGTTTGTGTTACACCTGTCAAAAACACACAGTAAACATATGATACTTGAACGGCTGAGTAATCAACCCAATTCATTCATCATAATAGAGGCATGGCTCTGGTAGTTTTTGATTATTATAAGCCATCCACTTTGGTTAGTCATCATATCATTTTATTTGAACAACTGTGATTTCAATAATATAATTTGAGAAGCAAACATTTTTTTCAAGGAAGACTATAGCCATAAATAAAATCTGGCTTTACACCCCTATACTGAATGAAAAAGAACCAAATCTTTTAAGTGCCTTAAATGAGGGGTCTGGACAGGTACAAATTTTACTCTGATCAAAGAGAAAATACAATACTTGACATACTCTAGCAAGCACATCTGCAATAATTGCTTCATGTTTTTTAGTGGCAGCATTCACAGACTCTGCATCTAAATCCTTGGAGGAATCTTCCAATACTTGACACATGTCAGTCAGCCAGGAATTCCTAAGCATTGCCTGAAACCGAATAACAACAAACATTAGACGAGTGTGACAGGGTGGTCTTTATATGACAAGTTTTAATGGACTCGCATGAAATGCAGTAAAATTGTAGAAATTGTTAAAAGCAAAAACTTTGACAAGATAATTGATCTATTGGTTTGATGAAGCTAACACATCGTTAGAGTTTGACAAGTATAAACAATTCAATTACAGAGACTAAGCTCCCGCTACGTCTATCGTAAACTGAACACTAGTGATTTATGCATTCAATTTTCTTTAGACAGGAAATTAACAACACTCACCTTCCTTTCAAATTTCTCAGCCAGTTGTTCCAACCGCTCCTGTTTCATCAGCTCTTCTCTGAGAGCACGTTCTCTCTCGTTTTCTGATTGATCCAATGACTGCCATGTCTTCTCAATATCATTTATCAGTTTGCCTTCTGGAGGGATGTATCCTCTCTGAAAGTTCCTTGCGCGGAGTTTGGTTTGAATTTGAAAGAATAAGGCCTCGAGTTCACCCTTCTCTTGATACCTGGAGAAAGTGAAAAGGAAGTGAAATATACTAGTATCAAGAAAATACATCAAATGTAATATTGTATAATTCAGTAGGACCAAGAGGATGAGAAAACATAGTGAGAGTATTGAAGACTTGCCCATGAAAAATAGTGTGGTTTTAAAGGCTCTGTCATATTTTGATCAAAGTCTTCATTTGTGATACACTATGTACACAACAGTTCTTGGAACCGATCAATAGGTTGAGCTTAAGATCATTCAAGCTATTAAATAAGAGGTGAAATGATTATCACATTTTTTTTATTTCAAAAGTTCTTGATTTAGACTACTGTAAAATACTTTTATTTAGCTGGAATAAATTTTCACTGAATAGACTTTTTGGGTGTTTTGTATGGAATATATTTTCACTGATTTTTGACGAGTTGAATGTAAAATATTCAAACAACGATATATTTGCTGGATTTTATTTTCACTGAATCATACCTTCAGCGAAAATACCAAAAATAAAGTTTTTTTGAGATTTCTCACAAAATGAAATATTTTTCTTGAAGCGAAATTGACTGAAAACATGCAAAAATGAAGCAATTTGGAACTATCTCCATAGAAATTCGAGTTAAAATATTATTTCATAAAAAAACTAAGAGTACTTGTCAGAATTTCCCAATAATTTGAGACAACCATAAGTAACCATCTTATATCGACAAATCATTTTTTTCACCACACACAATTTTGAGTTTAATATGGCAAAATATTTTTTCCATAGGAATCAACAGTAACTGACTCAAAAATCGCCATGGGTGTTTGACATATTTTTTGTTTGAAAGTAGTTTTGCGACCATACTTATTTTTATCTACCTGTAGATTTTGTGAACAACAGAATAAAATAAAGCCATATGGTGAAAATCAATGAAATCTGACGAAAGTTTTTATGGTAGCAAACTAGAAATCTGACGAAAGTTTTTATGGTAGCAAACTACCTTACCTATTCATTACAATGTATCGGGGTTTGAGTGCACAATATTGCAACAAACATTTAAAATGTGAATTGTTGCGACAGAAATGAGATGGATAACAGGACAAGCATTCTGTTTTTCTGTCATTTGCACATATAATCATTAACACAACAGACAGGGCAACAAAACAAATCCACATATCAAAACCATTTCACCCTTCCACCATTCAGATCATTTCAAAACACTTGCAAATATGTAAATATTTGTAGGTTAATAAGGGTATGACAGGGTTCATCACCATGGTAACAGATTATATGGGATAAAAGAATCAACATCAGTTAGCAATATACAAGGCATGTTTGTTCACCTGTACAAAATACTACCAACTTAGGAGGATTAACAACACAAACCAACTTACTTAGGGGGCTTCTCCACTGTTCTGTAGTCTTTGAATTTCATCATTTCTCCCTGAATACCATCTAGTGAGTTTGGGAAATTTCTATCATCAAGTTCTTCAATTTTAATTTTAATCCATTTGAGTAGATCGGATGTCAGTCTTTCATAATCTTCTTCACTGTTTTCAATGTCCATCAATCCATTGACGATCTATTAAACAAAAGTACAAGATCCTTGTATGAATAATTTCTCAAGAGACAGATTTTGCAACTTTCGTGGGTTAAGGGAAGTTGTGAAAACAGTAACAGTAACATTTACTCCTAACAATTAGTTGTATATCTAGTATGCAAAATGTAACTGTTAAAAAAAAGATTTGAAACTTATTAATATCTTTTTCATAACATTTTCCAGTTTTTTATTGGGATCATTTCCAATCACATTTATTTGTAATAAAAAATAGAAAGAATTATTATTATTTATGTGAGAAAGAAGACGAACCTTTCCAATTCTCTTTCCTCCTTTCTGTTCTTTTTTCATCTTTGCAAAGTAGTGGTAGTAAGAAACCACGTACGTCATGATAGATTTCTCATCTGGTCTCTGAACAGCGATATCTACACCAAGATACACATACAGTAAATTACAGTAAAACATAGACTTATATATGGCATTTTTGTATAAAACTATTAATAAAAAATTCATATTCAAATACTACTCAAAAAAACCTAATAAGGACAGTAACCATTAAAACTGTTGTACAATGAAGTGTGATGACATAAAGGTCATTGACCTCTTACAGTGATCAAACTTTTCATTTTTGCAAGCATTTCAATATATTTTTGTTGTTGCTAACAAACTCTTATGGCATTAGTTCACTCACAGAAAGCAACTGGAAACATTTTATTAAAAAAAAAAAATTGTAGTTATTATTCCTTTTGAAGTGATTAATAAACTGAAAATGATCCAAGCATTGTTATCTAGAAAGCCAAAAAAAATAATAGTAAAATAATTTTCCCTCAAAACTGGCGTAATCTCAAAACTGAAGAAGAACAAATACATTTACAATTACAATTCTACAGTCACATATTCAAGTGTTTCTGGTATCTACAAACACAATACACTCTCCAGCCATAATCATAAGTAAATATAACACATGAGATATAAGACAATGAACAGCACATACCTTCAGCATCTAGCAGTTTAGCTATGCCCAGTTGGGCATGGGCAACATCAAAGGCATTGTTTAAATTACCTAACTGATCACGAGGATCTAATTTCTGAAATCGAATCAGTTCAGGCCTACAAGAAAAGAACTCAAATATTAAGTAATTTTAATTAATTCACACATACAGTTATCCAATGAGATTTACATAATTGCAATTACTCAGTAAATGCATTTTGACCACAAAATGATGAGAAAAAAAAAAATGCATACTTGATTAGAGCAACGATTCTCACCTACTATACTTCTATAGTCAACCCATGCCAACAACTCGTACAATTAAAACAATGTTATGCACTACTTGCAAATTTACTCTCCACAAAACAACACTCAGTCGCACACAAAGACCTGTCTGCGACAAATATGTCTAATGTGTATTTCATTGTGTTCAATGCTTGTCCTCATTGTTGATTCAAATTCGTCAACATTTTTGTCATAATTTTTGCCAAGATCTGAACACAGCTGCAAAATTTTCAACAGAATTCCAGAAAAGTATGAGAAATTGTAATTCCAAAAACATCCAACTAACCTGTGTGCGTGTATAAGTGCATTGAATGCGAGCCCATCTCTCCAACTAGTTGTGAAATTGGTGACGTTAACACCAGGATACCTGTATATGAAACAAAAACAAATGCAAATACAAGCAACTGTCTATACAATACAACTAGAACATTAATTACTGAACATTTCACAAATTTATCTGCCCATATTTATTTTTCAATTCTGCTCAAGACAGCTAACCATGAGAAATGATGTCTATTTGGTCAAAAGTAAACAACGAAAATTAAAAATAAATATGTGAAATGGTGCAAAGGAATTTTGAGCTTCTTACCCGGCTGTCTTTCTTTGACACCAAATAAGCAAAGAATCTTTCGCCGACCTAGCTTGTCTACTCGCATCCTGTGAGAAGAGAACAATCAACATATGTAAACTAGAAATAAGTTTAATTCAGAAGATGCAGAGAATAATTAATAACAGAGGACAAATCTCTTAAGTTGGTTTTCTCTAACATTTCAAGGAGGTGGCAGTTGTGAAAACTAAACCACTACCTCTTGTTAATATCTAGTATTAGAGAAGCATACATCTTGGGTTATAGAGCAGAACATCGCAATATGCTAATCCCTGCAATTCACATTCTCTGAAGATGTCAATTGAGTTCAAGTTCACAAATTCTATTTCCTGCTCATCAACATTGACAGTTCCGACCATGAAAACAGTCGTATTGAAAAATTAATCTGCTGTCTTAAGTTCTGAGAAACACTAGGAACACACTTTGTGCTATTTTTATTAAAGAGGAAAATTAATATTTGACATTCTTACATTTTTATTGATAATTGTTTAGGCCAGACAAAATCTTTTTTCCAGATTCTTTGTGTGAATAAACTTGGAGCAGCAAATAAATTTGTTTTTGCCCAAAATTTGGAAGCAAAATTTTTTTTTTGCCAAAATGTGGCTATGAATGCGGTTGGTCAAGACAAATCTCGGACCAGAGTCTTGCACTTTGTGAGATATCAGTTTAAGGATTCGAAAGTTTGTGAAAATCTTGAAGCAAATCAAAAAAAAAAAAAATCTAAAATTAGATCTGGCAGGTGTGACACGGTCCTGTGAACAAGATTTTATTTTGTCTGGCTTTAGTGGATTTATTCATCATTCATTTTAGTCAGTTACAAAATATCAACATTATTATTAGTTGCAATGACAGAATAGACAATTAGATTTGAAAATACCGAATTGGTTCCAGTAGTATATGTCAGGATACAATAAATGCAATAATTTTTTTTATGTGCATTTCTTCAACGATGCATTTCTAATAGAGCAAGAACAGTAAGTATATTTTTTCGTACTCTCCAAGTAAGGACAACAAGAAAGTGAAATACAAATTCTGTTAGTGAATAAAGAAGCACTGAATATTGAGCATTTTATATGTGAAGCAGTCAGTTATACCACTGTATGCATACATAGAATTTACTATTAAAACTTTTATCAACACCTTTACTTGATCTATTTGACAGTGTGGTGGCATTCAAAAGAGGAAGCAAGAGAACAAAAAAAGAGACAGATGATAACGATGATAATGATGATAATGATGATGATCATCATATATTAGACTCGCACCATAAAGTCAGCATTTATGACTTGTGTAAAACAATTTATTATGTCAGAAATCCAAAACAATTGGAACACACATTTTATACCCAAGGGTATCATAGCAACAAGTAGCAAAACAAAAGAGAGATACTTACATCATCATCTTCAAGTTCAACTTCTTGAATTTGAAATCTTAAGATAATGGTCCATATAAGACCAAGTATAAGTATAGGATTGCCGTCACAGATATCTTCAGCACCAATGCTCTCAAGTCGCACCTAGCAACCCAATCACATACATATGCATTTAACATTCCAGTGGATTGGTAAGGGCATAATTAAAGATTCATTAACCTTTTCACCATCAGTTCTCTCTACTCATCACAAAATAGTCCTGTTTATAGTCTGCATTTTCCATCAAAGGATTGAGACAAAAATAGCCAAATTTTTTTAGTAAAAACTGAAAATTGACTCAAATTTTGTCTGTTGGCTCCAAAATTACGGTTCAATGTCAGAAATATTGAAAGAAGTAAAGTGCAGACAAATTTGGGTAAAAAAGTCTGTTGGTGGAAGGTTAACATATATACATACATGTAAAGTTGTGTCAACAAAAAATGGTAGAAAAAAATCATCAGAATTAAATCCGTTATTATAATTTACCAGTATCTATAAAATCAGTTGATGAAGTATTAATTCAGCTTTGATAATGAATTATTGATCACCCACATCCCCCCTCAAATAAAACAGAGGATATCCTCCTTCTCCCTCTCTAACATCATTTGGGCACTCAAGATTGAAAAAATGAAGCATCTAAATTTGTTTTCAAATTGTTTTTAAATGTTTACACATTACAAACAATGTTTAAAATGTGCACTCTAAGAAATGTATTCTGCTGTGCTAAATTCTTTTCCTATTTTTGATTTTTGATTTTAAACACGTAGTCTGCATTCAACGTAATGATTTACTATTCCTAGTGACATGTTCTTTATTTACTAGCTGTTAATCGTTTGTGACGTTCGCTTCTACCTGATAATAAAACAAAGCAAAACATCACAATAGAATTCCATTGAGGGTTCAACTGTACAAAGTTTATTCTCTTTGTTTTTTACAGTATTTTTATTATTACACTATTTTCCTCACAGACACACAAGCTGCCATCTACGCCAGGCAAGGTCCATTTATTTGGCCATCACCTCACTGCAATTTCTTGCCAGCTTCTCGTCAGCAACTGTGTATTTAAGTGCACATTCTTTGGCAATTTGAGATTCCGCCATTTTGTTTTATATCCATTGTCTTATTCTAGGGCTGCTCTGATTGATTTTAAAGCATTTCTAATCAGTCAAGTAACCAACTATTTGATAGAATCATACACAGGTATATTTACATCATGTTCACAAAGTTGTGCGATTCAGATGATATTTAAAAAAAAACAAAAAAAACAACCACAACAAAGTGTGCCTAAAAACTTGTTCACTACCCCTTCAACAAAACTGAGGTTAGGAAGTTATGCATGATGACACAATAAGTGAACCTAGCCATGCAAACTATACAATAAAGATGGTACAGCATAATGGCCCATAGGGATATAGTATATACGTGCTGTAAAACATGTACTGTACATTTATCACTTTGCATTTTCAGAATACGAGTTTTCAAAGAGTTGTTTTAATATCATATTCAACATGAATATCTCATTTTTAATACATTGCATCCATACTCAGTAGATGCAAAACATGAAATCCCTCAATATTGTCATATAAATTGAAACAGGTGCTTGGAATATGTCCGGTGATAAAATTGTAACAGACAATAAACGGCCATTTTCTTTTTTCTGTGCGTAATGGATCATTCCCTAATGAGTATTCGACCTGAGTCGCATTCAGTACAGGTCAGGGTGTCACAAAACATTGAGTTGTATTTTGAAATGGTTCATGAAGATGGCGTAAGTTCCAGACAGATATTTTCACAAAAATTTTGATGCCATTGTTTTCATATTATCTATAATCTTCTCTTGCGTCAAAGCTAATTTTAGACCAGACATTTCTGAGATAATAATATTGATCTACAAATTTAATATAAACTAGTTGATAAAAACAGGTGAAAGACTGATTAATGGGTGCCTCTGAAAAAATCTTTATCCAGAGGTTTGTCCATATACAAAATGCCAATCTGCCAAAAATACAACCATTGATTAGAGGCAATATAGTGGCATAGCATTTTGGCTGTTTTCACACGCAAACACATACCATGCAAACTACATTCATCTAACCTCACAACGAAAAATGATATTGAGACACACATGGACAGAACACAAAGCATTACCCTAGCTCTTCCAAATAGGGAATAAACATACGAATCAGAAGTGGTCTGGCCTTATCATTGGAGTCTTAGTCTCTGCATAAATTGTTATGGCTTTTTTGCTGCATTGTTAACCTTTTTCCAGAACCATTAATGCAATTTATTTTGTGAGTTCAACCAAATTGGTTCAACCAAATGTTTTGAGTCAAACAAGTGTTATGAGCAAACTAAGTGTTGAAGTGGAAAGTAAAAGACAAGCCCTCATGGCATGTCAATAACAATGGGGTTAGGCATTAACACGACTATATTATTTTATTACACCAGAGTATGGCTACACACAAGATGTTGAAGAGAAATGCATGCAACATATACAAAAGCATTAAAACACAGAACCAGCAGCAACCACACCCACACCTCTTAAACACAAACAGTTTTAAAGTTTAAATTCAAATAAAATGAAACATGTATTGAAGTTAACTACAGAATCAAATTTCATGGTTTCCAAAAAAACAACTTGCAAGGTGGGAAGTGGTGATCAAAATGATCAAAATTAATGATTAATTTATTGGCAATGTATTAGGATGTCTGGCTGAAGTTTGGAAGGTAAACAACAGCACTTAGACCAGGTCAGCTATTCAATAATTATAACTTCTTTCAATATTTGTACTGAAAACCACCTAGAAACTGTCTGAATACTGAATTTTTGGTTTTGAATGCAGATAAATAAACATAGTACAACTATTATAACCTTGCTCCTAGCATGAACCTAAGTTTATCTATGAAAGTTTTTAATGCAACTTGTTGACCCATTATCAGAATACAGAACAAAAATGGATAGAATTTATCTGAATAGTAGGCCAGTCAACAAACCAGTGAACAATTATCCACTAGTATGATTGGGTAATATCAAACTCGACTTGTAAGCAAAAATGGGACCTGATTAAATGAAAACTTTTCCATTCACTGTGACCACAAGAAAATGTTTATTAGAGAGATATATTTCTCTTATTTGGCATATTGGTTTTATATGGTTATCATTAACATCTAGTAGAAATAAAGACAGTTGACCCTCAATTCAACCGTTTTTAGAATAGGGTTCAAATATTCATCCCCTCAAGGTAGCAACAGGAGAGACAAAAATGACTTAAAATCGGTCAGACATTCACTAAAGGGTAAAGCATGCTGCTATAACAACCTATATATCATCTGAAAGCTAAAATATAGGCAAAAAAGGTAGTAAATACACTAGAAAACAAAAGCAGATAAAGAAAAAAATTGTACTAATGTACCTTGCAATTATAATGACATTAATGTGACTGAAATGGTGTTCTCAATAGTCAGAATTTTAAAACAATAACTAATTTGCCATTAGGTAATCTTGAAGACAAACATTTGTATGGCATTCACTACTGTATACCTATATATAAGCTACGTTAGAGATTTCAGCATATGCCAAGACTCTGGACCGAGTCTGCACGTGCTGAAACATGTATTTGAACAGTCAGGAAAGAGTCTGAACGTGCCGAAAAAAAATTATTTTGGCCCTGATAGATGCTCAGGACCGAAACTCGGCACGTGCCGAGATTTGCTGCCTGAACGCTCGAAACGAGCCAAAATCACCCTCTGTGGTGAATTTCAGAGAACATATACTGATTCGTACCAGTATGACATGCCGATGGAGGGAAGTGCAGCTAGATATGGTCGAAGTTGTAGTAATGAATGAAATGAATGCAGAACATGGTTGGCGACGCATATTGTGTTGCTGCAACCAACATAGACTTGAAAATCTTCTTTTCCGTTCATGTGCACGGTAACTTGTAATAAATACCATAACACATGGATATAACTTCAATATAGCAATTATTATCATGATATGTGTATCTTTTTCTATGTTTATGTCAAATAACAGATCGAAGAATGAACGACATGAGCCGAGTCGGTCCCAATTGGGTCCCGACTAACGTGAACGCAACTGCTGTAATCATGTTTTTAACTCATTTTTCCACAGTCACTACTTCTAGTCCTCGGTATTTGAAAGGTACCGCAGCCAAGGCATGTTTGAAATCAAGTGTCAATGAACTTTTTAATCCAGAAATGACGAACATACATGGACTTCAAACATTAAAATCTAATCCATCAACAGAATACTATAATTAGAGTCAGCTGACAGTTCAAAAGAAGTTCAATTATTTTAACAAAAAGCAAGGTTTCTACATGTTGAATATTTTGACTTGCTCCCTCATTGTACTTGTACACTATGTTACTAGTCAACATTAACATATTATTTTATCTCATTCACATCTTGTATTAAATGTACCTTGAGGTTTGAAAATAAAATTATATTATACACGTACTGAGATTAAAAAACTGGGGTAAAAAAATGAAAATAAAAATAATATTTTTTGAGCATTTTTTTGAGCTTACAAGTCGATGGGCGCGTGAAATGACACTGAAATAAAATTTTATTTTTATTTCACTTTCAGCTCCTGTTCATTCGGCGGGTTCGCGAAACAAGGGATAATAAAAGTCTGGCCTTATTAGTATAAAACATGCGATCCAAAAAATTCTTGGGAAATTTTTGTGTACACCCAGCCTCTGAAATTGTTTTATGGTGAAGCCTTGACCCGAGATTCATTGGATAATATTAGTGGCCTGTAAAAATACTTGATTTGGTAAAGTTTAAAACAAATATGCATTATTCTATCAAAATTTGCACATTTGAATATTTAAATTAACAGTTTTTGTTTAATAAGTTAGGAGAGTAGACAAGTACCACTTTGTATGCATGCAACACTGCATATTTCAATGATTAAACACAATCTCATTTTCTACGCCCAAATATGTACATAGTTGAGTAACTAAGTAATAAGACATTATACAAACACCGTTAATGGTAATTCTGTCAAACGACAATGTACTGCATGTTGTTTGTGAAATAACTTAGCCATTGTTCCTAAAATGAGTTGTTTGTATACATGACTGTGTAGTACAATAATAAAACAAAGTGGTAACACTTTATTTTTTAAAAGTTAACACTCATTTAAGTGGGTGGCTGGGAAAAGGTGTCAGGGGAGGGATTGGAAAAAATTTTGCTCCAGAGAAAAAAATTCCCGAGATGCTACCCATCTATCGTCTAAGAGAAATTAACAGTGTGCATAATTGAACATAACAGAATTCTCTAAATGAACAACGAATTGGGTTGAAAAGTTACAATTGGAGAGAGTATTTTGTACGGCATCTTATTCTCTAGTTTATTTGAGAAGATAACTAATGCAAGTGTCGAGGAAGAAGCATTGCTCAGAAAACAGCACGGAAACAGCAATATAAAATTGTCACTCACGGTGTTACTCTCACAAGAAATAACCAATTGGAGAAGACGAATTTGCTTTGATATTAATTTTCCACATAAAAGTCCACTACTCTCCTTGTATGTACTAGAATGTATTGAAGTGCTATGTCATCATTAAGTAAATTACCTCTCCTCATTAAGTGTGCATTTCATTACACATGTGTACATCCGTACAAAATAATCATAGTTTGCAAATAACCTTTATGACAAATGTTATTCTCCATTTAGTTAAAAAAAAAAAACCTACTTAAACTGTACATAATTTGAGTGCTAATTTATCAGGAGTAATTTGATATAAAAAAAGCATGTGTACTGACGGAAATAATAATAAAGTTTTAACATTAAATATTTACCGTCAATTAGCATTCAAGAATTTCATCAATTGCTGACAAGAAAGGCATGATTACTCTACAGTATTCTATTGAATATTTATAATGATCACGAATTGAACGGACACGAACTTAACCGCTGAAGGCAATTGTTGAATAAAGATACACAGTGAATTCATTAATAAAGCAGTCATCAACCAGAAATAATTGACTCTTTAGCGAATAGAAAAACATCCATAGTCAAAACATGAACAAAAGAATCATAAGAAAATTAGCTGAGAGGAGTACCGGTAGTTCAATTTAGAAACAAGCGCTTGATTTTAACAGACACTAAGTACACATTTGCAGAACGGATTAAACCAAGGTTGTGTTATGCACCATATATAGATTACCTTTGTTGCAAGAAATGTCAAGCATCTATTCAAGTTTTCTATCTTCTGTACTCTTAGTATTCCTCTGTTTGGTCTGCCTAAAGGTTCTCCGGAGATTATTTCTAATAGTTTCATTAATAATTTTCCATCTTCTAAATCAGTATACAGGTTACTGACGTGCAGGTTTGCCTGTGGAAGAAATTAAAGTCGATATAAAAAACAGGATAATGTCATGAGAAGAGATACAAAGAAAGTCCTGCTGTAAAGCACTATTTGAGGAATTCTATGCAACAAACAGAGGAATCCCATATAAGGAATAAATGAATACTGTGAATTCGGAATCAAAATATGAAGTGAATACATTGCACTGGTTTTCCCAGGTGAATAAATCGCAGTATTAAATGAACGACGGTTCGAATTGGAGAAATATTTGACAATTTTAGAACTAAATTTCAAGAAAGGCATGCAGACTCCCTAGTTAAAAAAAGGGAAATTTTCACTCCATCATTTTCATTATCACAGAATTCTTTAAAATCTGTCACAAGGTTAAAAAAAAAGTTCCCAGTATATAAATAATTCCTATTCAATCTAATCTGCATTCAATTTGTTACATTTTTCTATATATAACCAAAACTATTATTATATATTGAATTTCTCTTTTGTTATTTCAACTAAAACAATTTCAGGAATTCAGCTCTTCAAGAAGTTTATAAAAAAAAAATATATATTAACCACAATTATTGCTTAATTGAAATTTGAATGACTTTCAGGGACTTTAAAAAAAATCACATTCTAAACCATTTTTTCTTTTTATCTGTTGATACCCAAGGATCAAACAATTTTATTTTCACAAGAACCCTTCAAATAACATGAAAGGATCGCTAAACAAACTGAGAAAACTTGATATCACACGCCAAAACAAAAACACACAATAACATTGACCTTAAAGGTCACTGTTGGCCTCAGGTAAAACTGAACTTTCTAAGATGGACATTGCATGACCCCTAGGGTTTTACATTTCTACTATATTTAGTAAATAAAACATGTCGTTGACTGATTGGTTTCGGACTTTTTGTTACATTCTGGATTTACATTGTGGTTACATTGTACTGTAGTGGGCATTAACCATTACCAGTACTCTTGAGTGCAATCATAGGAAACATCTGTTAGGTGAACAGGTAAATAATGCAGCATTCAGGAAGACATTAATGAAACATTCCCCGTACACTTTACTACTGTAAGATTCATTTAATAAATAACTGGGAAATTATTTTCGCTGGAGGAAGAAATCACCAAACCAAAATCTAAAAATCAGGAATTCTCAAAAATATCGTAAAATGAAACATGTGCATTTTCAGGGAAAAATGTACATCATCTAATACCAAGGAGGAAGTTAACATACAATGTATCACATATGGGTTATAAAATAATATATAATAGAATGAAATGCAGCATGTGTGTTTTACATTACTTAAAAAAAAATCAACAATTAGGTAATTATTAAAGCAATCTATTTTCGACTTAATACACATATCCAGTGTGAAAAACAACACCCATATATATGGTGACACTAATTACACGCTCGTGTTGGGCTTGTAATCACTTTACCTTTTCAAGGAATTGGTTCATCCATTTTGTAAATGTCTTCTTCTGTATTGACATACGCTCCTCTCGCAGCGCTTTGATCCGGTTGATCTCAAACTCGTTGGTCTGCTTGGCAGCCATCTCCCAGTCTTCGCTGCGTGATTACAAAAGTGCAGCACAGCCAGAGAGTGATGGAATAAAAAAAAACACACACACAACATAAAAGCATATAATCATGACATACGGGGCATGGAAAATTTGTAATTTGTGTCGCAATTAAGAAACCACGTCATCAGGACATTAAATTCAGGGACATTTAATTCGAAGTAATACACGTCAAAATAAACCAGTCAATTATTAGTATTGAAGCTCCACTAAGGCTGGAGTTCTAGGCTACATATACATATACGGTAATACGACTATAATCATGCAAGCAGCTAACCTGTTAGAAGAAATGATAAGTTAGTACGGGGAATTTTATTGGTGAGTTAATAACAAGACAAGGAAGCAGACATCAATCATGCCCGGTTGAGAAGGTTAGTTCGGTTGGTATAGAATTAGATAAATCTGTCTATACATCAACATTGTATTTTTACCGACTTCACTGCATGTTGATTTACTTGTTTTCGAATTCCTTCTTGATTGAAAAAAAAAAGTTATTAACAATTGCTGCAAGTTTGGGATATTTTTTCTTTTCAACTGCTATATGATACTGTAATAGTATTAGTTGTTTTTTTTAACAAGGAATTTTGCGATTATCTTACCCCAGAATGGCCTAGAAAATCATACAAAAAACAAGATTAGTGAGATATACCTCAAAAGTCAATTATTTTTGTAAATAAAGACCAACACTGAAAAACATAAGAAAGGGGCTTGATTCTTAAAAAGAAAGTGACGGGAACGTTTCAACCAACAATGGCAATAGTTTGGCACAATGGGCGTTCATTGTGTACTGAACTGTTGATAAGGGGAATACCTGACATACCTGCAGATTCCTTTACGAACTGACCCAGATTTTAACAAGATAACCAAAGGTGTGACCAATGAAATGTTGGCCTTCCCTTAAATGGTCAAAAATTATTCCGGCTCCAGTGTAGCGGAACGAACGGCATGCATAGCCAGTAAAGTGCAGACTCGGTAAGATCTTGGTGCGCAGGGAATAACCAGCGAGATCACAGAGATGGGATGAAAGGGTAGGGGTGAAACCAAGTATCAATTACGGCCACTATGTACTTTAGGTACACAGCAATGACTGCAACACTTTAGATTGGTCTTAGACAAGTAAGCAGTACAGATATCGCCCATTCAAATCATGAATACAAACAAGCCTGACTCCTGCTACTTAATGAGTACCTCCAATCTATGTGTAGGCAACAATACAGAGCTACACACTAAATATATGTGGATATGTAACATGGCATTAATTTGGCCAAATACCATTGGTTTTTTTAATATTTAAGACACATATTCATTTGGGGGTATAAAAGTCTCTAGTCTGTTATCAATTTATTGCACAAACATTAACAACAGGAAAATTATCAGAAAATTATTGAAACACTTGCTTAGTGAAAAGTAGTTGAGAGCGGAGCAGGCAATGTCAACAGACCAACCTGTATACAGGAATATTTAAAGAGATACCAAAGGTTATCGGTACATAGATATTAATAGCAACAGCGCATTATAATTAAATAGGCATTGTTTTTACAAATGGAAAAAATTAACAATATCAAATTAAAAAAAAATTCACAGAACCGAACATCTAATTTTACTTGCATATATATTGTGAACCAATACAAATTGTTACAATTACAAACCAGTGAAAAGATAATGTACCTCGATTTAAACACCGTTTTATCAGTAAATGATTACGACAAGTTTATGCCGTGGAATTTTAAGAAAATGCATGCATACAACCCCTTGGTCTGATATCGGTAACAACCAGGCCAGTTTGAGTTATAAAATCTCCACTACCACCACTGCATGTATATAGGGCGTCCTCCTACTACACAGTATGTACTAATAATAGAAATAAACGCAAAAATATGCAGGATCTAGAACATTCAGTTTTTTCAGATAGATTAATAGCAGAAATATTCACAACCATAATGAAGGAAAAAATGATCGAAAACTGAAATTCTATAAAAAATATGGCCAATATTAATAACTCTTTATTTTTAAAAATATGCTAACTATTAATAAACACATGCTCAATTTAATTGACAGATTTATTTTTGAATTGTGAATTGTTCTCAGCGTTAGAGAGTAGCCATTTTTAGCACCAGACATTGAGATATGTACACATAGCACTGTTTTTTTTTAACATGTGTACAGCGTGTGTTAGTAAATAAAGGGAATTCATATGCAAAGTATCTAGTTATACAACGACAGGTGTTGGGTGGAAATATTATAAAACGTTATTAAGCTTGTCGAAATGAAAACAAACATATGTGTTCCTTTTCACTGGAGCGATTGGTTTCAAATCTGTTTAAATGTTATGTATGTTATTTCCCGATGAAAAAAAAAATAAATTTCGTGACATGGAAAGAAGAATTAATAGATCAAGTGGGATACTGTCAACACTGCATGTCAAGCAAACAATGGCGGACCACACCCGACCTGGATATGAAGTAGACAGGACCACCATGTGATCGAGTTTCCCAGCAGCAATGTTACCTACATTTATCTACAGTTCATCTTTATTTACAAAACACCACGACTTAAAGTGGCAAAAATAAAATAATGTGCAAATAAAAACACTGCTACTGTATTTTTTAATACGGCAGCAAGCAAAATACGAAAAATAAAAAAAAATTATATTTAACTAATAATGAAATTACATACCGTGACATTATGTCTCACTGGGCAGCAAACAAAAATTATTTCCCCAAAGAAAAGAAATCACACTTGAAAACTATTTTTAAACTCCAGTGTAATTAATCACAGGCGTGACTATAAGAAATCCAGTAATAACAATAATACAAATGACTATTCTTGACAAGGACAAAGCCTGCATTGCTATACCATCTATCCAGAGTCAAATGAATCCACCCCAACAAATACATTTTTTATTTTGTTTTGACATCATTTTTGTCAATGCTATTATAATATTATACGGGTAGGCCCATCACATATATGAATATTCCTCCCCTATTATCATGGAGATTATTGTTTACACAACAATGACAATTGTTTCAATATATTTCACCGACTTTTACCCCAGTTATAAGCAGGAATAAATATTTTTGCTGGTGTACCCAGGCAACTTGCAAATATACACATGCTATTTTTTCGGCACGAGTGACGTGATAATCGCTTATCTGACATTTAATGGATGGATGTACAACGATTTTCCATGTAATTTTGATACCACGCTGGGACTGGAAATTGACGGCCATTTCACAATGACATTTAGACACACCATAACATTATTCCATATATTCATGGGTGTACATGTAAACCAACATCAGTATCACTTAAATACATGCGTTTTAAATCAAACTTCTTTTCGATAAATCCAATTCCTTAAATTATATTTTAAATACATATTTAAATTTAAATATTTTATTGAATAATATTTGACAGTTGAGAAGGCGTAATTTTTCATTGTTTTCATTTTTGTTCTCGTTAACGACAGCTGTGTACCGCCCAATGTTGTTTAAATATTGTCAATTAAATACAGTGCCCTACTTATGATATTCCAATAACACACCGACAAAAGCAAAAGAATTAAGTATAATTTGTGAAGAAAATTTTTTTTATTGTAATTACATTTTTGTCATGATATATGATGACACAATTTATTAATATCACACTGATTTCATTGGCTGGTGGATACTATGAAATATTACTGATAAGCAGCAAATTATGCTTTATCATATGACCCAAAAAAAAAAAAGATTTTCTTATCACTTTAGATTAAAGATAATTGATCTTTATGGACGTTTATTGAGCCTGATTCAATATACAACGACACTGGAAGATAAAATATCAATGTAAATACATTCAAAATGCAAAACGAAACAGAAGATGAAAGAGAAAAAAAAAAAAAAATTTTGTAAATAAAAAATATTTCAATAGAGATATAAAGATACCACTATAAAAATAAAAGATAATGCAAAAACCGAGTAAAATAAATAAAATGTTTAAAAGAAAACCTTAATACTGAATTTTCCACATCATGAAGCATCATGATTGTCTATTAAATCAAGAGTCTTAAGACGCATAATTTGAATTGATGCGGCAGTATACAACGCTATAAAATAATGTGACAGTCAGATGATACGGTAAATCACCCTAAATAAATGAATAAATATTTAATATACCATGCAACGCCGATAATTTTTTTTAAAAAATGGTTGGAAATGAAAAATAAGGATGGATTATGAGATCACTTTAATCCATGTGTAAAGGGTGAATACATATTTTATGTGCTTTGCACGAGATGTAGATTCTTCAATCACACCGCTGTTTGAGTATCTTTTTAGAGTAAAGTAGCAGTAAAGGCGTGGTACCGCTGTCAGAACATAATTTCAGCTGCAGAGCAAAACTTGTATGGAATTCAGCCCGAAACGACCATTCTCAGTTCAGCCATAAGAGTCTGTGGTTCAGCTTTCATTATGAATGAATACTTAATGAAGAAAGGAGAAAAAAATCACAAATATGCTTTTTGCTGAATTCTTGGCATGGCATTAATTCTCTTTAGGGGCTGAGACCGACAGTATAAAACAACTTGCAATTAGACCAGCAGAGTGAAATATAACACCCCAAGTGATAGACATCTCCCCTAGGGGGGTAGTTTAATTATATACTGTGGTGAGGATGGACAAGAGTGATTACATGGATAGTCTTCCAAGTACATCTAATGGTAAACCATTGGGCCACCATGTGGGAATAGAGCCATATGTACAAGTAAAAAAATCCATACCACACATGTACAAAAAGATGTCAAATACTGGTAAACACATTTTTAACAATGCTATACATACTACAAGGTACACAACTTTAGGTTAAGTAACTAATTAATTGATTGATTGATTACATCCCATTATTTGTGTAGAATGTATGTGGTGTATCCGCTGAAATAATATTCTAGGAACCAGGGTTACTACATACATGTACCATGATTGATAAAAATCAGTTACTATAAATGCATTA